TCTAAGCCAACCTACAGTAAGGATAAGCCTAGGCCTAGTGCGGGAAAACAAAAGGGTGGATCAGGCAGTCAAGGTTCATCCAAGGCGCATAAACCAACATGTTACCGATGTACCGAGGAACATTATGCTAATAATTGCCTACACAAGTCAATAATCTGCAGATTCTGCAAAAAGGTAGGACACCTAGCCAGGGTATGTCGAAAAAAAAAAGCAACATGCAAAGAAAGTCAAACAAGTATATACCAATACAAGTGATAGTGATGAGGATGAATATGATTTATATTCAGTTAAGAACACATCCAAATCTGGTATAATCTTGGATTTTTTGATCGACGGTAATCTAATTAAAATGGAGTTGGACACTGGAGCAGCAGTTACAATTTGGTCAGAGTCGGTCTACTTGAAATATTTAAAGGCATGGCCACTTGCAGATTCTTCAGTGAAGCTACGTACCTATGCTGGTGAATCAATCAAGGTGCTAGGTCGGCTTACGGTTCCAGTGAAATATGAAAACCAACAATACACCCTGCCTTTGTATGTGGTTCCAGGTAACAAACCATCTCTTATGGGGAGACAGTGGTTAGGGTTAATCCAGTTAAATTGGAAGAATATTTTCAAGGTACACGCCGATACCTGTACTAACGCTAACGTAAAATCCGTGACCAGCGAAACACTTACTAAAAGATATCCAGCTGTTTTTGCTGAGAAAGGTGACCCTATCAAGGAATTCACCGCTGCTGTGAAAATACCTGAAGGAACAAAGCCCATGTTTACAAAGGCACGGCCGGTGCCATATGCATTAAAAGACAAGGTTGAACTTGAACTGAAACGATTATTAGAAAACGGGATAATATCTAAGATAGATCGTAGTGATTGGGCTTCCCCCATAGTAGTTGTACCGATGGGTGATGGTAAAGTACGGTTGTGTGGGGATTAAAAGGTTACGGTAAATAAAGTGTTAGTTGTTTCACATCATTCCTTACCTACAGCAGAAGATCTTTTTGCTACCCTTGAGGGCGGGAAATTTTTACCACCCTTGATCTTACCAATGCTTATTTACAATTAAGCTTGGATAGTGAATCAAGGAAGTATCTCACAATAAATACGCACATGGGTCTATTCCAATTAAATCACCTTCCATTTGGAATATCATCTGCACCAGGAATATTCCAGTGTGTGATGGACCAAATATTACAGGGAATTCCTGGAGTAGTATGTTACCTTGATGACATTTTAATATCTGCACCATCTGAGTCAGAACATTGGGTTAGATTAAACCAAGTATTTCAACGGTTAGAGAAATATGGTGTGAGAGTTAAAAAACAGAAGTGTGACATTGGTAAACCATTAGTAGTCTATTTGGGTCACAAAATAGATGGAAATGGTATACTCCCCACTTCAGACAAGGTAGAAGCGATTGCACAAGCTCCCAGTCCCACAAACATTACCGAATTGCGCTCCTATTTAGGCTTACTAAATTACTACGGGAAATTTCTTCCAAATGTATCTACGGTTATAAATCCGTTAAATGCGCTATTGCGCAAACAGACACCTTGGTGCTGGGATAAGGTTTGCGAGGTTGCATTCCAAAATAGTAAGAAATTAATACTAGATAACTCATTGCTAGTCCATTATGATGTAAACAGGGAATTGAGGTTAGCGTGCGATGCTTCTCCGTACGGTGTGGGTGCGGTTATCTCGCACATAATGCCAAACGGTGAGGAACGCCCCATTGCTTTTGCGTCTTGGACACTATCTAAAAGTGAACAAAACTATGCGCAAATTGAACGCGAGGCACTATCCATAGTGTATGGTGTCAGAAAATTCCATAAATACTTATATGGGAGACGTTTTGTCTTGATCACCGATCATAAGCCACTTACTGCTATATTAAACCCTGAATCCCCTGTGCCAAATTTGGCTGCAGCAAGAATGCAGCGTTGGGCGTTACTATTGTCAGCGTACAAATATGACATCGTCTATAGGAAATCTAATGATCACTGTAATGCAGATATGTTATCTAGGTTACCTACCAAAGATTCTACAGATGAACATGTAGAAGTAAATGATTTCTCATATGTTGATGACTTGCCTATAACGGCAAATGATATTGGTAAAGCAACAATCAAAGATCCTTTATTAGCTAAGGTGTATGATTACGTTTTGAATGGTTGGCCAAACCATGTTAAGGATAAAGAGATACAGCCTTTCTTCATACGCAGAAATGAATTGTCAGTTGACAAGAGGTGTATTTTGTGGGGATTACGAGTAGTAATACCTGGCAAATTTAGGTCAACATTATTAAATGACTTACATGAACAGCACCTGGGCATATGTAGAATGAAAGGGTTAGCTCGAAGCTACTTATGTACTTATGGTGGCCAGGGTTAGACCAAGATATTCAGAATCTTGTAAACCAATGTGAAACATGTCTGTCTGTCAGAAACAAACCACCTCTAGCACCACTCCAAACATGGGAGTGGCCAAGTCGTGTTTGGCAGAGGTTGCATGTTGATAATGCTGAGTTAAAGGGTCAACATTTGTTCATTGTTATAGACAGTCATTCAAAATGGGTAGAAGTGTATCCAATGAAAATTACCACAACAAACAAAACTCTTGATATTTTAGGAAGACTATTTAGTTCTTATGGGTTACCCGAAGAGATAGTCTCGGATAACGGGCCCCAGTTTATCTCTAGTGACTTTGCCGAGTTTATGACTAGAAATGGTAGCGCCATATCATCCTGCTTCCAACGGGGCAGCGGAACGTACCGTTCAAATTGTGAAGAAGGCGCTAATTAAGCAATTACTTGATCCTAATCCACGTAAACGAAACTTGTCATTACACCACAAGTTAGCAAACTTCCTTATTATTTACCGTAATAGTCCTCATACCACGACGGGTAGAACACCCGCAGAGTTATTTCTAAAGAGACAACCTAGAACTAGGTTCTCATTACTGAAGCCTAATCTGGCTCAAAAAAAATTGATAGGAAGCAAGCTAAACAAACTGAGTATCATGACAAGGGTCGTGTACAAGAACGGATATTGCATGTAGATGATAGAGTTAGAGTCAAGAGTAATGTAGGTGGACTAGTTAAATGGTTGCCTGGGAAGGTAACCAAGGTGTGTGGTTCTCGTACCTATTTGGTATACATGTATAACAATTGTAAGATTCGATTTGTACACATAGACCACATATTGAGTTCCAAAGAGAAGGGAGTACCATGTAAGTCTGCAGACAATCCCTCAGTAGACATACAAGTCCCACTGACTAGTCCAGAAGGACTTCAGATGGAGGTTCTGGAGGTCCAGAAAAATCCGAAAATGGGAAAGGGACTCCGGGTCAGAAGGACCAGGTTCCACTAAGTGTGGATCCGCAAATTGCTGATATTCAGCCAAGCCCTCTGGTACCTAGTGCAGGTATTGCTCAGGAGAGGCGCTATCCTGTAAGAGTCCGTAAGGCTCCAGATAGACTAAGTTTGTAAACAGGCACACAAATAACAACTCAGTGTGTCAACAGTTTTATTGGTGTTGTGTTATACTAGTGTTCCTTTTGAGTTAAACCAATAATTAACCCTAATTGTTAGTTGAGATTCACAAAATAATACATTTCCTGTGAAATGGGTTGAGAGTGGCGTAGTTCATAAAAATTCTATACTGTTCTGTAGTTTTTTTTCACAGGGATGACAATTTCTTTAAGGGGGGGAGGAATGTAATATACATGGATCATTTAAATACTGTACCATTATGTGAGATGTGAGCCCTCTAGAGTTTGTGAAATAAATTGTTCTGGAAATGAAGTCATTGTGTACGTTTTGATACGTTCTTGAACCCAAAGATATTACACTCCTCTATGAACTTAACGAAATCTGTAGTATCTTTCATATATGATGGAAGTTGAGAGACAAAAGGGCGTAAGTGAGTGTCAATATATTTAGAGATCTCGACTGTTGGACAATTTGTGCCCGAAATGACGGGGCGGCTTGGGTTTCCTTTTTTATGAATTTTAGGAAGAAAATACAAACGAGGAGTAACCGGGTTTCTTTTAACTAATTGTGGTTGGATTTCATTTTCAATTTCAGTTTTACGAAGTGCCTCTTTTATGTGATCTTCTATGGGGTCATTGCTAAGTGCCTTATAGGCCTACGTAATAGAATCTGATAGTTGGCGTTCGCCTTCCCGGAAATATAGTCAAAGGTATTCATAATTAGAATGGCACCCCCTTTATCCGCTGGTTTAATTATCAAATTTTAATTACTTTCTTAAAGGGCCATTCTTTCACACTTTGAAAGGTTGTCTTTGCCTCGAGGGCGATTTATTGCTTTATCAATATCCTTAACAATCTCCTTATAGAAGACCGATAAAGATGGAGTCCAGTGTTTAGGAGTCCAAGAGCTTACGGATAATCTTAGCTGGTTCATCATTAGATGATTTACTTTTGGAGGAAAAATGATCTTTAAGCTTCATCCGCCTAAAAATATCCTGTAAATCAGAATGTAATTGAAGAGGGTCTATTTTGGGTGAAGTGGGGCAAAATCCTAGACCTTTAGACAAAAGGCTCAATTCATTTTCTGACAACGGATTGTCCGATAGGTTAACTACTTCTAACTACTACTTGGGCGGGCGGGCGGTCGGACGGACGGTCGGTCGGTCGGTCGATCCAATGAAACAAAGATCGAAACACTTATACTTCTTAGTACTTTTTATTATTGTATTATGATGTTAAAGCATTATTCCCGAAGCAATTAAAAAGGCCGCAAGAAAACATTTAAAATTACTTTCACTTTAGTTTATGAAAAGAAAAATAATAGTATTGTTATATATTATTATTATTATTATTATTATTATTATTATTATTATTATACTTTCGTAATGTATTAACTGATTGTGTTGTAACTGTTGCCAATTTGAAAGGACGCCCTCTTTGTTATGTTGACGCCAGTACTTGTGGATAGAGGGTTGACGGACGAGTCTTCTATGAGCAATTGGATGGTTGTGTGGTTGTTACGACTCAACTTATGACGTAGGAGAACATTAGATTGTACCAAACATGAATTTGGTTAGGTGAATATAAACATAAAAACTAGTTTATTCCTAATATTTTCAAATCTGTACCAGTATTAAACGAAATTCCGGTTCTCTCTCAATTTATTGCAATTTTGTGGACCTTTCACTTCAAAATGTAAGTACACAGTAAATATTTATGTTTTTTTGTATTGCATTAACAAGATACTGTCTGTGATAATAATTCTAAAAATAGCTTAGATTTTAATGTAACTATGGTATACAATGTAAACTGTTCTCAGAATCAAGATACCATCAATTGATATTGATATCATTTATGCAAACCTTAATAATAATGATAATAATAATAATAATAATAATAATAATAATAATAAATAGTTAGTATGGCCTATGAATCCGTTTTAATGCTATTCAATCTGAATGTATCCAATTACGTATAATAGAAAACGGTAAAAAAACAATAGTAATAATATAAAACAACAGCCGTGACAGCGGCGACGGCGAAGATTATGATGATGATGATGTTGATGATGATGATAATGATGATAACAATTTGAAGTATCGTTTTAATGTAATTGTTCTTCAAATACAGTATAGATGGAACATTACGTTGTACGTTGTCTGTTCATTTAAAGGTTTGGCATTTTACATACTGTAAACTTTTTTACTATTAAAAATATATGTACACATCATATCATTGATATGCGAAAATCAAATTTATATCTAAAGTTTAAACACGATGTCTAGAGATTTGTATATATTCCGTTATTACATTACTAAAATAAGACATTTTACCTACAAACAAAATTGTACCGAATTGGAAGATGCATTTTTACTGGGCCTATTAATATTATTGGTTACATATTTCGCTGACATGTTGTCTTGATGTTGTTCAGAACTATCGTACATATTTTATTAGTCAAGTGGGTATAAGTACTGCGTGTAGAATGTCACTTTTGCTTTGGACTGATTATCAAACCCTATGTACTCGCCAAACCTGATTGGTCAATGATGTAGTAAGTGTACAAATTTGAATCCCATGAGGTGTTTTTTTTTTTTAATGTTTTGATTAATATCCTGCCAACTTCGACCCCATGTATTTAACTCGCTTTTCGGATGACTTCCTCTGCTCCCATGAATATGAAAAACTGGTATTTGAAATAAAGGTCTATTAAACATAGACCTAAATGAAAATCAGAGAGAAAATACGAAAGTTCATAACTCAGATAGGTACATTGGAATTTGCAATTTCTAACAAGTGCTTTTTGTTAGCAAAATAAAGGGTTGACTGAAACACAAAATTGATATTGTGATTGCAACCGGTGATAGCCTATTTAACATATTTTCAAGAAAACAGAAGTAAAAACGTTCCTGATAACTAAAGGGTAAAATTTACTTAAATCAACAATTATTTGAATGTGTCAGAAATGCTTAGAACTAACACGTTCTGACCATAATAAGTATAATTTATGAGAGAAAACAGAGCCTCATCATCCATAATTATTTCTCGTGAACGCGTATTGCGATATCATTCAAAGCTGGATGAAATACTCATTATGTTACTGTAATAAGAATAGAATGATTAATTGTTTACAAGTAAATTAAAAATACGAAGGCAGCAGGTCGTAATTAGTGGCTGTAATTAGTTTTACTTTACTTTGTTACATACAGTACATTCGGACTCATTAGACTACCAATGAGCCCTAAAGTGTTAGGAATGTCTGAGAAAAAGTTGTATTCACTTGTAATTCTGGCTCGTCTGAGTAATATTAAAACACATTTAGAATACGTTTTTATTCACTAAGTTACAAGTATTGACTCACCACGTACTCAAAACACACTCGACTCCATTAACAGTAGGCCTAGTTGTGCAAACACACTAAAAAAAGATCAATATAATTAAGAAAAACAAATATTGCCAGAAAATGTTAATGTTTATAGAAAATAATTTTTAAAGTGTTTTGTTACCATTTATTATATTATTTAAAAAAAAATTGTTTCAAATCTGTTGCTTTCCATTAGATTATAGTATATCTTCATTGTTAATAAATGATTGATACTGTTCACAATTTATGCTGTATTTTTTTAATCTAATATAGACCACTCTTTGTCAACCGAGTATTATTCTTTTCTCGTGATACTGCTGTTTATCATACTGAACTAAACTAATTAAAAAAATAAAATAGACAAAAACATAAACAACCAAGAAGGCATATCCAATTTATAATAATTTCTTAGTGCACTGATATGAAGGTTGCACATTTACATGTATGTTACTGATATATAAAATCACCATGGTTACCAGAAATTATCCTCTTTAATCCGGTTAAATTGATCGAATTATTGCAAGAACGCTGCATAATAATAATATCGCCATGGTAAAAACTACATGACTTTATCATCCTACAGTATGATGAGTTTTACGGTTGTTTAATCGAAGATGCTCATTTTGTTGGTATGTTTATTTAGTTTGAAAGGATCAAGGAAATCTGTTTATTTGTTTATTTATTTATTTATTCATCTATTTATTTATTCATTCATTTATTGATTTATAGCTCTATCTCGCTGCCTTGAGAAAACTAATAATAATAATAATAATAATAATAATACTATGATTATTATTATCAATAATAATAATAATAATAATAATAATAATAATAATAATAATACTATGATTATTATTATCAATAATAATAATAATAATAATAATAATAACATATACAACAGTAGTAGTGTGTAAAAAAAGGCAATATAATGATGACCCTTCACTGTCTATTTGATAATGTCCTACTCCATATTATAGTTAACCGGTATAACACTAAGCATGCTTTCTTAGAAACTACACCCAAAGGAACTACACTAAGAAAGGTGTGGTATTAAGTTCAGTACACAATGAATCATCGTTTGTGCATTGTATCACCGTTGTGCAATATTAAATAAATTAGATATAACTAAAACTATTAAGTAAAAACATGGATATAACATTTACCGAAATAATGCAAAAAATTACAAGATAACAGTTTTAGGCGAATTTTCTTTTAGTAAAAACATTGTTTTTTCTTTCACTTTTTATTGTACATGTATTTGTAAAGGCTTATTCGTGACGTAATGGTAATGTACAATATTTTAATTATTTATTTTAATTACAATAAAATATTGATGATGACTTTGGTGAATGAATGAATGTACGAATAAACGAAGGAACGAACGAAGGAACGAAAGAAAGAATAAATGAATAAATAAATGAATAAACAAGTGGTGAGTGAATTGATGAATGAATAACATAATTATGTTATATGATTTTAGGATATTGATCGAAAGTCTATCGGTATTCGGTGAAATACATGGTGACACAGTCTTATCATCCACCTATATAAATGAATGAATGAATGAATGAATGAATGAATGAGTAGTTGGACGAATGGATAGATGGATGGATGGATGGATGGATGGATGTATGTAGATGGATGGATAGATATATGTGGGTGTGGATGGCTTCATATATGTAGGGAAGTCTGAATGGATGAATCAGGAATGAATGGGTGTATGAAATGGTGGGTGGGTGGTTGGGTGGGTGGATGAATAGATACAAGGATGAATAGGCGGATGGGTGAATGGATACATTAATTTTATTTTGAATATAATAGATAGAAGGGTGGATTAAATGGATGAATGGACATACGGAGAAAATGAATGTAATAAAATATTTTGAATTTTGGGCATTTAATAGAGTTTCATTACATTAATAATGCATTACTGATCAAAATACATACTATAATACTTAATAGAAGTGTGATCCAACAACATAGGGTGAAAAGTTCAATCAATAATATTTCGCAGCACGTTGTCAATAGCAATTAGTCTTAATGAAGATCTGTGCATTATTATAGAATCAAAATGAAATTTTGGAATATATATACTGTGTCCTGAGAAAAATTGCAATGTGGCGTGAGCTTCACTGCAATTTTTTTTTTTCGTATTGTAAAGTATTTACTTTCTTTTACTTAGCGCTCTTTTGACACACAAATTAAGATCAATAAAGGCACAAGTGGTTGATGGTTGGAATATTGCCTGTTTGATAGCTAAATATTGACATGTTACACAATGATTGACAAATTAATCACACCATCAACACAAGATCGAAAGTGAGATGCAATGTTTTCATTTTGGTTAGAATATTGTCAATTATTTTGACTTTAATTCAATAAAACGAAGGTGATTCAGTAACGTACATGTTCAACATGTCAAAACGGATTAAATATTTTAATTAACTTTGTTTTAGTTATAGAATGGTAACTTTCAATTCGGTAACGCGACTTTATAGTTTGTTCAGTTTAGACGTTCTACCAATATTATTTGTGCATTGACCAAAGTTTAATAATGCTTATCTTTTTGTTTTTTGCCTAAAAGTGTAATGATTTGCAATAAATTGGCAAGGTTAATTGTGAAAATATTGTATATTGTATAAGAGAGTATCAAAGTATTATGGCTGTCGAGGTATACCTGTTTAGTAGAGCGGCTAAGGAAAAAATCGTGCATGTTTGGAAGAAAGCATGACACTTCCCACAGTGATACTATGATACCTAAGGGTCAATAAAAAAAATAGACCCCAAAAAATAATCCGCTTATTGGTCACCATCTTGAAATTTAAAATGGCCACCAAAATATTGGATTTTTATCAATAATGTTTTTGATCTACTTGTTTATTATATGAAAAAACAAAAAAGCAAAAACGCTTCTAGACAGTCGAATACAAAATGTTTTATTCGTGTATATACCACAGCACAGGTGGACAAAGTGCGGCCCGCGAAAATAAATTAAAAACCCTATGTATTTAGCCCGCCAAGTAGAAAACATATTATTGTTTACGGGCAGACGCCGATTATGTAAAGAAGTAACATTAAACTGAGAATAAAGTGGTGTAAAAGCAGTGCTTTGAGGATTTTGGAAACTCAATGGAAACATCAATGTTTGAGTGCATTTGCATGCAGTTTGAGTGCATTTAGCACTGTTTCTGTCATTATTTGATTAGTTATACCACAATGTTAGGCAGCAACATTGATTCTATGTTACTTCATTATAATACAGGTATGACTTCTAGAGTATTCTTTCAAACAGTATATCAACAAACAGTATAAGGAATTTTTTTAAATTTAT